TGAGGGTGCTGAGCCTGGGGGTGCTGAGCCTGAGGGTGTTGAGCCTGGGGGTGCTGAGTCGGAGGGTGCGGAGTCCGGGGGTGCTGAGCCTCGGGGTGCTGCTTCGCCTGGAGGTCCTGCTGGTGCTTCGCCGCGACTGTCCTCAGAGCAGCTGCGTGAGTGGCTTGTTCGGCGCGCACACCGTCGGAGTGGAGACATTGGAGCTGGAGGTGCTGCTGTTACTGCTGGAGCTGGCGGTACTGGAGGTGTTGCGGCTACTGGTCCTGGAGGTGCTCGTACCAGTGGTGCTGGAGCTGCCGGGACTGGTGGTGTTGGGTGCGCTGGAGCTGGAGACCCTACGGAGCCTGGTGCAGGAGGCGTTGGGGCTGCAGGAGCTGGGGTTGGAGGCACTAGCACCGGAGGCGCTGGAGCTGCAGGAGCTGGAGCTGTTGACCCTGGAGCTGGAGGTGCTCGAGGCACTGTGCGGCCGCGACCGTACCTCGTTCCCCTACTTCAGCAGGTTCTTGGTGTCCCGTCTACTGGTCTTCCTCCTCCCTTCCTGTGTCCACCGCCTGACCAGTTGCAGCCGCCGTTACAGCCAGCCTCCCCACTGCCAGCTCCCTCTCCCTACACTGAGCAGTCGGGAGGTCTTACAGAGCGTCGTGAGCCTGCGTCTCATCCTGTCTCGCCTGTTCGCACTGCTCGTCGCGCTCCTCGTTCGGGTCCTCCTCCTGTCCCCGGCACGCACACTATGGCACTCCGTCCTTCCTCTGTTCCACTACGTGTTCCTCTGCGTGCTCCTCCTGAATCCTCTCTTCCTAAGGTCCCTGACCTTGAGTCTGACCAAGCGCGTGCTGCCAGTCCCACTGTCGCTCGTCTCCTTGCCACTGCTGTCACTCACCCTTCTTTTGAGTCTGCTGCTGCGTCTGCTCTCGTTGCTGAGCTGCTTGACTTTGCTGCTACCTGCCGTCTCGACTACGCCTCTGCTCTAGTTGCTGAGTCTGTGCCTGCCAGTCCTCCGTCCGTCGGGGGTGAGTGTGCTCTTGGCACGGATGTCCTTGAGGACAGGCAGGAGGACTTTGAGTGTCTTGCAGCTGCTGTACCTCGTTTCGCTTCCATGCTGCTTGCCCCTGAGGGAGACCCGGATGCTCAAGACATCCCGACCCCGCGCTCTTACGAAGAGGCGATTACGGGTCCTTACTCCTCTCAGTGGCAGGCAGCTATGGATGCCGAGATGGCATCCTAGAAGTCCACAGGCACCTACGTCGACGAGGTTCCCCCACTTGGGGCGAACATAGTCGATGGCATGTTGATTTTCAGGGTGAAGCGGCTGTCGGGTTCTCCACCTGCCTTCAAGGCGCGTTACGTTGCTCGAGGCTTCAGCCAGCGTCAGGGAGTTGACTACTTCCAGACCTTCTCCCCCACCCCGAAGATGACTACTCTTCGGGTGTTGCTGCACGTCGCTGCTCAGCGTGACTACGAGTTGCACTCCCTGGACTTTAGTACAGCCTTCCTGCAGGGCAGCCTGCACGAGGAGATCTGGCTGCGCCGACCACCTGGTGTCACTGGGACTTTTCCTGCAGGTACTCAGTGGAGCCTCCGCCGGCCAGTCTACGGTCTCTGCCAGGCGCCTCGCGAGTGGCACGACACACTGAGGACTACACTTGCGGCTCTTGGGTTTGCTCTTTCTACAGCAGACCCTTCGCTGTTTCTACGCACCGACACCTCGCTGCCGCCGTTCTACGTCCTTGTGTACGTCGACGACCTCGTCTTTGCCACTGCTGACACTGAGGCACTGACCCTTGTGTAGTCCGAGCTGCAGAAGAGACATACCTGCACTGACCTGGGTGAACTACGCAGCTATCTTGGCCTGCAGATCACCCGGGACAGAGCACGACGCACCATCACACTGACTCAGTCACACATGGTGCACCAGGTCCTTCAGCTCTTCGGCTTCCATTACTCCTCGCCACAGCTCACTCCTCTGTCTACCAGCCACTCACTCTCAGCTCCACCTTCGGACGAGTCCGTAGAGCCGAGTGGTCCGTACCCAGAGCTTGTGGGTTGCCTCATGTACCTGATGATGTGCACACGACCTGACCTCGCGTACCCTCTCAGCCTTCTGGCTCGCTACGTGGCTCCCGGTAGGCACCGAGAGGTGCACTGGGATGCTGCGAAGAGGGTACTGCGTTACCTGTGCAGTACGTCGGGCATGGGGCTTGTGCTTGGAGGACGAGGTCCAGTTGTCCTCACTGGTCACGCAGACGCCTCATGGGTTGACGACTCAGCTACGCAGCGGTCGTCACAGGGTTACACCTTCAGCCTTGGGTCCGGCTCTGTTTCTTGGCGGTCTACCCGCTCGTCTTCGGTTCTCAGCTCCAGTTGTGAGGCTGAGAACTACGCCGGGGCCATGGCTGCACAGGAGCTACGCTGGCTCACCTACTTGCTGAGCGACTTGGGAGAGCAGCCTCGTTCACCTCCAGTCCTGTACGTAGACAACAAGGCCATGATTGCCTTGTGTCTGGAGCACAGACTGGAGCACAGAACGAAGCACATCGCTTTGCGATACTTCCTTGCTCGAGAGTTGCAGCAGCGTGGACAGCTTCGTCTTGCGTACGTGTCCACTCGGGCCAACACTGCTGATGTCTTCACCAAGGCACTTCCGCCTGGTGATCATCAGCGCTTTGCTACTGTGTTAGGCCTTGTGCCCACTTTGCCTCACTTGCTCACTGCTTGACCCTGCTTGTACTATGATCTCTATATATACCTGCATGCTTGCATTTGCTAGGGTATGACCACTGTATTGTTTGTTCTCTTTATATAACTCTGCATGTGAACTGGCCTTGTGGCCCTCTGCTTGTGCTCGGACTGTGTGGTGACTTTGTGATCCACCCTGAGCTTGCTTTGCTTTTCTTGACTGGTCTTGTGACCACTTGTTCTCCCCCACTTTGTCTATGGGGGTGTGTCAGAACATTATAGCTTATACATTTGTGTAGGCTGTAGTGGGGTAGCCCATAAGGGGTACAACCCAATTAGGGTTAGTACTTGTACCCAACTGTTTGCTAGTTCATTCATTCTCGTTTGTTATTCTCACACACACGACCAAAGGATGTATCGTCTCACGAAGGGTACCGACTACATCTTACTCATAGTCTATGTGGACGACCTGCTTTACATCGGCTCTACCGACGACGTCACGACCTGGTTCGAAGGGGAGCTATAGCGGGACCTCATACTCACCGTCTCTTCTACCGTGACACAATACGTAGGACTCAACATACAAGACGGGGAAAACGCAATCTACCTCAGCGCCGCAAAATACTCTGACACCATCGCCAAACGCTTCAGACTAACTCCAGCTACCATCACCACGCCATATCGTTACACCGACGGAAATCGCAAGGAAGCCTCCGCCCTACTCAAACCCGCCAGCATTCGCGACTACCAACGAAAGCTAGGCTGTCTACTCTTCGCAGCCATTACCTGCCGACCATATCTATCTTACTCAGCTAATCAACTCGCCACCCATCTCAAGAAACCTGAAGCAGATCACATGGCGGAGCTCGACCGTGCACTTCACTACCTCGTCAGCACCCCGACGATCGGCCTAACCTACCACAAGACTGGAACTACGACGCCCAAGTTAATCGGTTATGTGGATGCTGACCACGCCGGCGACCCAGACAACAGACGATCGCGCACCGGCTACATCTACCGACTCGAACCTACGGTATCGGCCCTATCTCATGGCAGTCGAGCAAGCAAGAGCTAATTGCTCTCTCCTCAGCTGAAGCAAAATATTTCGCACTCTGCTCAGCTACCAAGGAAGGATTGTACCTTCGCGAACTACTGGAAGAAGCAAAGCTGGCAAAGTTACCCAGCTTCTCCCTTTTCTGCGACAACCAATCGGCCATTCGCAGAGCGAACAAGAACGGGTTCGCGAATCGAACGAAGCACATCGCCCTCCGGTACTTCTTCGTAAAAGACGAAATCGAGAAGGGGAGACTTGAGTTATCCTACTGTCCCACATCCGAGATGGCAGCCGATTACTTGACCAAGAAGCTCGGAAAGCAGAAGTTCAAGTATTGCATGCTGCTGACTGGACAAGGCCACGTCATCGGCAGCGACACTCCAGAAGCGAAGGGGAGTGTTGGAAACAAGCAATTTAACGCTTCTGAAGTATCGAAGTAATAACACGAACGAAGCAGGCTATAGTGAAGCAACACGCGAGTCAACAAACGTAACAGCCGGAGGTTACGCGAAGGTCAAAGGTCAGCGACCTTTGACTCAACGAAATACAGCGCGACAGCAAGGATAAACAACTGACTCGGTATTGAGCAGTTACCCGAGTCGTCATTGTATCGAACCGCAGCAGCAAAAACAGTTAATTGCACCTCTTCGTATTCCTTGTAATCATATATATTCTTGTATCTCTTTGCTTTAGTCAATTCATCTTGCCCTCACACACTAGTGCAAGGTGGTTCGACAAAATTAATGTACGGTTTTGCAATTACAATATTCCTACTCAGAGTCTTAGCCTTGAAAAAGATCCTAAGGGCTTTATCAGCCCAACAGAAGGGGGGGGGGGGGGGGGGGGGGAAGACGGTGGATTCAAGCTGAATCCTTATTGGTTTTAAACTACACTGCGTACAACCCCAACTTCTGAAACGACAGGCTCGGCCCAAAGTCGTCACTTCAAAATCTTCATCCTGACTGTTGTACTTTGTGCGGCCAACCTTGTGCCAAACCTCGATTTCAAGGTCCCCGCCTAGCTAGAAACCGTCTTTATATAATGCCGTTGATTTCATTTGTATAACAGGAGTTGTAACCACATACTCGTTTTTTGCTAAATTCACTCAGTTTTCTGTACAGCACATAACAATGATATACACTTCAATTAAATCCAAGCGCCGTCCCAATAAAAGATTAGCATCGGCTTTTGACGAGGATTCGTTAGGATCTAGGGCTTTCAGATTCACAAATGTCCCAGTTGCGCGACTCGGGCCTAATAATCTCTGTCAATGCTGCCGCACGCGCTAATAGCTGCTCCGGGAAAATGCTCACCTCCTGCCGTCGCTCTGTCCCATTCAACCAGCTCTCGCCATGTTGACTCGGAAAGAGTCGAGCGAAAGTTATTTTTGCGCAGGAGTCTATTAGCAGGGGAAGCCGTTGGTAAGAAGGGCTTATATGGAAGAAGTAGATTCAGTGCTCGTGCTTGTAGCGGTAGCAGTACTGGTGGTAACAACGGCGGGAACCATGGCGAGAACAGCCACAGCGCGAGAACCGGCCATATCCACCGTGTCACAGCAGGATTGGTCGCCCTGCACGACGAGACGGGAAGCAGGCGATTTCCTTTAGAGGTTGTGGCGTCTCTTAAGCCCGAGGCACACACGAACGGCGAGTTCAGGGAAGCTACGCGGGAGAAGGAGGACGTGGCTCGAACGATAGGCTTGACAGACGCGGAAACGGGAGGGAGCAGGACTAAGTTAGAGACGACGTCTTTAAAAGGGGATGCTCTTAAACGCGAAGCGGAGGAGGCGGTTTTGGCGATAGACGTGGGCACGGGCGGGACCAAGGCGGCTGTGGTGACGTGGCATGGCGCTGTCGTGGCTTCTGCGTTCTGGCCGCATGCTCCGCCACGTGGCGCGGATGATGACGTGGCGCAGGCGCGGCAGACGGCGGAGCAGGAGCCGTCTGATTGGTGGAGAGCGGCGGCGGGCGCAGCTGGGGAGTGCCTGGCGCAACTGGATGGGCGGAAGGGGGGGAGCAGCGCGGGTGGGGAAGGGGAGGGAGGTGGAGTGGGTGGAGACGGGTTGAGTGCGGTGAGGGTGGTAGGTGTTGCGGTGACCGGTCAGATGCAAGATGTCATCCTCCTTCCCCAGGTACCACCTTCCCCAAGTACCACCTTCCCAGGATACCACTATCTTATGGTGTCACCTTACTCAACTATTACCTCCCAGCCTCAGATTAACACCCCCTCCCCCTCTCCCCCCACCCCCTTCTTCCCCTCTCCCCCCACCCCCTTCTTCCCCTCTCCCCCCACCCCCTTCTTCCCCTCTCCCCCCACCCCCTTTTCAACCCCCCATCGTGCACTGCACACTCCATTGCGTCCACGTGTCCCTCCAGGATTGGTCGGCTACCAGCTGCACTGCCGTCCCCCCTGCCATTCTGTATTGCGATGCGCGTGCCACTGCCGAGGCCAGAGAGGTGAGGAAGGGGGGTGAGGGGGATGAGTGGTTGGGGGGGATGCGGGATGGGGGGGACTTTGGAGGGGGGAGGGTGGCGTACTCTGATGCGCGTGCCATTCCGTACTCTGATGCGCGTGCCATTCCGTACTCTGATGCGTGTGCCACTGCGGATGTGCGACCAGAGAGGTGTGTGCATGTGTGTGTGCATGTGTGTGTGCATGTGTGTGTGCATGTGTGTGTGCTCAATTGAATGCAGATGGCAATGCTGGCAGGAGGCGAGGAAGCAATCATTGCATCCACCGGGATGAGACAATGCCCCACCAGGTGGGCGGCATACATGGCACCAGGTGGGCGGCACATGCGGCACAGAAGCCACCAGGTGGGCGGCACACACACCAATGCACAGAGACCGGCATGAGGCATGAATGATTCTGTATGCATGCAGATGTACAATGGCATGTCTTGGAGCATACATGCAGGCATGCATAAAACATGCGCCTTGCTCACCTCCCAAGGTGACTTATGAGTCGACTCAAAAGCCACCTGATTCTGCATGCAAGTAGATGCAGGGTGGCATGTCTTGGAGCATACATGCATGCCGAAAACATGCGCCTTGGTCACCTCCCAAGCCTTCCCTTCCTCTCCCCCCCCCCACCCCGCTGTACTCCTCAGCGTGCTGGCGAAGCTCCTTTAGCTGCAGCAAGCAGGCTTATTGCCAGACTCAAAGCCCAATCCACGCTTTGCCCATTCCGCCAGCTCATCTTGCTCCGTCTGTCCCCCGCTACTCCCTTCCCCGCCCCCCACCCTCCCTCCACCCCACCCCTCCGTGCCGTACCCCTCAGCGTGCTGGCGAAGCTCCTTTGGCTGCAGCGGCACCGACCACACGCACTGAAGGAAGCTTCCTCGCTGCTTCTCGGCGCGTGCGTGAAGCTCAGTTCGAGACAGAGTTTTGGCCATACTGAGCATTATTTCCTCTGTTGACCTCTGTTGACCTCTGTTGACCTCTGTTGACCTCTGTTGTGCTGTGCTCTGAAACCGTGTCAGTACTTTTGAAATTATCCAATGTGTACTTTGAACTCAAGCATCTCCCTTGATGCTTTACATTTCTCACCCTTCTCTTTCTCTCCTACCACCACCACCACCCTACTTCCCCACCCTCCCCCCCCCAAACCCTGCCGTCCCAGCCATGCCTACGTGTGCAGCCATCTGATTGGTCGGCCAGCCCGGGTTGTGGATTGCACCACGCTCTCCACCACAGGCCTTGCCACGTGTCCATCCACCTCTGGTATCATGCCACGTGCCACAAAAACCAATGATCTGCTGCCACGTGTCATTGCACAGTTTGTAACAGCAGTAGCGGTACCTTTCTTGCCATTAGTATCTGCTATCTACTAATTTTCGGTCGACTCAAAAGTACAATATAATTTTCTGCTGTCTCCCCTCTTCCTCTCTCCTGCAGGCATCTCATATGCTGCCGACCTGCTTCACTCGCTCGGCCTCTCCCAATGGCTGCCTCTTCTCCTTCGCTCTACCACCCCTCCCTCTTTCACACCAATCCACCCCTTCCCCCTTTCCCCGCTTCCCCTCACCTGCAGGCATCTCATATGCTTCTGACCTGCTTCACTCACTGGGCCTCTCCCATTGGCTGCCTCTTCTCCCTGAGATCTTGCCACCCACCCAACCATGCGGTCAGTTTGCTACCCACCCCAGTGGTCAGTTTCCCGCTCACTTTTGTGCTGTTGTCGTCACTCAACAATTCCTCGAGCGAGCATCAAATAATCAATACCCAGTGTTGAAACGATATTGCATCAGATCTTCAATCTCTCCTTTCAAGACACCTCAGATATCGGAAGCCGTATAAGACAAAATTTTGAAGTCCTTTGCTGACCTGGCTTTAACAGGCACCTTATCTGTGGAAGCTGCGGAGCGAATGGGAGCACGCCACCTGGCAGGCATCCCTGTATTTCACTCGTGTGGAGACCTGGGAGCTTCTGCTGTGGGGTAATTAGCATCTATGGGTATATCATGTTTTGGTGATTGGTGTTTTTTTTGTTTATCAGTTCGCATCTTAATTTCGCAGAGTTTATTGAGTTGACCGCCACACCTCACATCTTTTCCCACTTTCCCCTTTCCGCCCTCTCCCATTCCCCCTTCCAATCCCTAACCCAACAGGTGTGGATCAGGTCTACCTGGCACGGAGTACATCTATCTCGGCACCTCAGGGTGAGAGGCGTCGCTCACAGTAAAACAGTCTTCAAGGTGATTTCTCACTTATTGAGAGTTCACACAGCAACAAAACTACATCTATCATGGCACTCAGGAAGGGGGGTTAGCTGCTGCTTTGGGGCGTAGCAGAAGAGTTCAAGCAACAGCAAAACCACATCTACCTTGGCACCTCGGAGGAGAGGGGGAGGGGATGTTTTGGGGCTAGCTGCTGGTGAAGGCTTGCGTCCATCTTTTTAGTATCCATTTGAAGTCTTGAGTCCTCTTTTTGCGATCCAAGTCCTTGGCTGTCAAAGCTTTAAAATATATAGTTGGAAACTAAAGCTAATTATCTTCAAGGTCTTTCGTCCCTGTTCGAGGACCTGACTGCTGTGGAAATTTTGCATTTGTCATATCTAATACACCACGGCCATCTGCCTGAGTCTTTCAGACATTTGATCAAATCGCAAGATCCGACTTGTTTAACCTGCTTTTTTTCCTCTAGCAATGAAAAATTGAAGGTTGCTCATGGTTACCAAAGAGCATGGACGATGTTCGACACCATCCTCGTGAGTTGTTTTTGGATCACATGTCTATCACCCACCTCTTGGCGTCCTTCTTCCGTCTCTCATTGTTCAAGAAAAAAGTATCGACAGAACTCGAGTGCTACAGCAATCTTCGAAATTCTCTCTAGCATTCAAGCTCTTTCAATTCATCCTCCGTGCCCTCTTGTAACCTTGATCTCCTATATTTGAAGGGAAAATAGCAGGATAAAGGAGTCATATCGTCAATGTGATGAAATGTTAAAAAGATTCAGGTAGGTGGCTGAGGTGTTTTTGGTCTGACGAATGCAGAATGTCCAAAGCAGTTAGCTGTCCAAAGTCCTCGGACAGGGACGAAACACCTTGAAGATGATGGACTTGTAAAGTTAATAAACTTGATACTTGAAAGATCTGATATGGCATGTCATCCAAGATTTGCAGACCCAATCTTGCCATCCAAGTCCTGTCATCCAGATCATTTCCGTTTTGCCTCTTTTAATCCTCTCTCACTGGCCAGCCTGCTACTGCCATCCCCATTTGCGCCGTCAGAACTCTCCCTTTCTCCCTCCTCTTTCTCCCTCCTCTTTCTCCCTCCTCTTTCTCCCTCCTCTTTCTCCCTCCTCTTTCTCCCTCCCCACTCTCCCTTTCTCCCTCCTCTTTCTCCCTCCTCTTTCTCCCTCCTCTTTCTCCCTCCTCTTTCTCCCTCCTCTTTCTCCCTCCTCTTTCTCCCTCCTCTTTCTCCCTCCTCTTTCTCCCTCCTCTTTCTCCCTCCTCTTTCTCCCTCCCCACTCTCCCTCCCGTCTCTCTCGCCCCACACTTTCGCCTTCCCACACCCCTATCAACGCATCAGATGGGTGGCTGGGTCCTTTCCCCTGCCACCACCCTTACAACCAGCAACACAGCCACCCAACCAACAACCCAACCAGCTTTCCACACATCCACCACCACTGGCATCTCAGCCTCTTGCATCGGTTCAACCGCCCTCATGGTCTCAGGGCGTGTTCACTCTCGCTCACCCCGACCCCTCACTGGTCTTCAGAACAGGTGCACACTTTTTGAGGCGGGTGAAAAACCCAAACCCGCTCAATTCGTTCTCGAAGGTGGGTGGGGAGGGTATGGAGTGTGAGTGCATGTGTGTGCTACTCTAGAAACAACTCTTGAAAAGAAAGTAAAGGTAAGAGATTTTTCAGAAGTGTGTTGGTGTGGGGGGTGAGTGAGTTCTCCTGTGGGTGTGCACATCTTTTGTGAGGTGGCACCTGACAAGTGTTTCTCACCTTCGTCTCTGTGTGTTTCCATCCCCCCACCAGCACCCATTATGACAGCAGGGGGCAATCTCAAGTGGGCTATCAACACGCTCCTGGGCAGCAGCGGCAATGGTGTGTGCTAGTTTGTTTGTTTGTGCGTGCGTTCATATGTGCATGTGCGCTGTGCTTGTCTGTCTGTGCACGTGCGCATGTGTGACTGCATGTAAGAAGCCATCCCTTCCGCCCACAACGCCAATTATGCACCTGACAATGATCTATCGTCCCACCCCATTCCCCAACCACCTTTTAAACATTCCTTCCAATCAGACGTGGCAGAATCTGCCTTCCAGAACGCTGACGTGGCAGCAGCATCCGTGACAGCTGGCAGTGGTGGCCTTCTCTACCTCCCATTCCTGAACGGTAACTTGAGAATACATTTTTGTCGCAAGGCACGTCTGTGTCTCAAGTAGGGATGAGCAAGGGGCGAACATGAACATGTTCGTGTTCGCCCCTACACGAACACATGTTCGCCCCTACACGAACACATCCGTTTGCCGAATCGAACACTGTTTGGTTCGGCGAACACTTTAAACAAAAACAGGTGTTCGCCGTTCGCCTGTGAAGGCGTGTTCGGGCGAACCTCGAACACGTTCGTGTTCGTCGCGGGGAAAATTGCAGCAGCGGCCCGAACACGAACGTGTTCGGGCGAACCTCGAACACTGTTTGGCGAACACTTTAAGCAATTCGAGGCGAACCGAACAGGTGTTCGCCCTTGTGCTCATGTCTAATCTCAAGCCACATAATGGTCTAAAATAATATCTTTATGTATTATAATGCATGAATCAAGTCATGTGTGCCATGAGCTGCTGTGCTAGTATACCATTTGAATGCTCAATCATCTCCCATCCATTTGCCAATTTAAAGGTTTTGAAATTTCCTCATAGTGTAACGTGCGTTCCCAGTCATTTGTTCTTGGACGTTCACTCACCTCCCATGCTGTGCCGTGCCATGCCATACCATTTCGTGCCATGCCATTCAAATCCATGCCATGCCATGCCATGCCATGCCATGCCATGCCATGCCATGCCATGCCATGCCATACCATGCCATGCCATGCCATGCCTTGCCATGCGATGCCATGCCATGCCATGCCATGCCGTGCTGTAATTTCAGGCGAGCGGTGTCCATTTGAGGACCCCAACATGCAGGCGGCATTCATCGGCATATCTGCCTCTACCACTCAAGCACACATGATACGTGCGGTATGTGCATAGCACGCCCCATGGTATGGTATGCACATAATAGGCCCACCTATTGGTCTATATGGTGCACTGCTCATCCCTCCACCTCCACTACACCCATCCCCTCCCGCTCATCCCCTCTGGTCCAATTGGGAATGGCATATGCACTGCTGTCAGCCCACGTCCCACATCGCCATTGCTCATCCCCTCTGGTCCAATTGGGAATGGCATATGCACTGCTGTCAGCCCACGTCCCACATCGCCATTGCTCATCCCCTCTGGTCCAATTGGGAATGGCATATGCACTGCTGTCAGCCCACGTCCCACATCGCCATTGCTCATCCCCTCTGGTCCAATTGGGAATGGCATATGCACTGCTGTCAGCCCACGTCCCACATCGCCATTGCTCATCCCCTCTGGTCCAATTGGGAATGGCATATGCACTGCTGTCAGCCCACGTCCCACATCGCCATTGCTCATCCCCTCTGGTCCAATTGGGAATGGCATATGCACTGCTGTCAGCCCACGTCCCACATCGCCATTGCTCATCCCCTCTGGTCCAATTGGGAATGGCATATGCACTGCTGTCAGCCCACGTCCCACATCGTCATTGCTCATCCCCTCTGGTCCAATTGGGAATGGCATATGCACTGCTGTCAGCCCACGTCCCACATCGCCATTGCTCATCCCCTCTGGTCCAATTGGGAATGGCATATGCACTGCTGTCAGCCCACGTCCCACATCGCCATTGCTCATCCCCTCTGGTCCAATTGGGAATGGCATATGCACTGCTGTCAGCCCACGTCCCACATCGCCATTGCTCATCCCCTCTGGTCCAATTGGGAATGGCATATGCACTGCTGTCAGCCCACGTCCCACATCGCCATTGCTCATCCCCTCTGGTCCAATTGGGAATGGCATATGCACTGCTGTCAGCCCACGTCCCACATCGCCATTGCTCATCCCTGCATCTCCTGCTGCCGTCCCTCCATCGCTCATCCCCTCAGGTTTAAGAGGGAGTGGTAAACCCTCTGCTCTCTGCCCACACCGCCAAGCACACCTGCCATTCCCCATCCCTGCATTTCCGTTTAATCCCTTCCCCTCCATCACTCATCCCCTCAGGTCCAAGAGGGAGTGGCATATGCACTGCTCTCAGCCCACACCGCCATGCAAGCACACAGTGGTGGCAGTGGAAGCAGCAAGCCCTCTGCTCTGCGCATTGTTGGTGGTGGCGCTCGGTATGTTATGTCCACGCAATGCTGTCCCAGTTCCTTCTTTTGAGGCGGAACAAAAGTCTTTTTAGGCACCACAAAAGCCTTTTTAGGCGCCACAAAATTCTTTTTAGTCGCCACAAAAGTCTTTTTAGGCGCCACAAAATTCTTTTAGGCGCCACAAAATTCTTTTAGGCGCCACAAAATTCTTTTAGGCGCCACAAAATTCCTTTTAGGCGCCACAAAAGTCTTTTTAGGCACCTCAAAAGTCAGAAGCAGCAAACCTTCTGCTCTGTGCATTGTTGGTGGTGTCGCTCGGCATGTCCATGCAAGGTTGTTACCATCTCTTATTCTCATCATCATGTAACCACTCCATAAATTGCAATCGTTTGTCCTTTCTTCTTTTCTTTCTTTGCACTATCCAGATGCCATTCACTTTTGTTTTTTTTTTTTATTATTACTTTTATTCTTACCTTTTCAATGATAATTTATGCCTACCTTTCACTAAACATCTAGAAGCATTAGAATTGTCTCGTTACCTTCTCCAACTTTTCATGTGTCTGTGTCTCCTCTCATCCTTGCTGTGACTTTATTTTTTTTTGGCTTGTCTCCTCTCGTCTACCTCAACCCTCTGCACTTTTCACTGCCTCCTCCCCCACTCCCTCTAGCTCGTCAGCTTGGTTTATGGCATTCTGTGTTCAACTTTGAGTTAACTCAGAAGCATCCTGTGTTCAACCAGAGGTGATATTTTTTGCTGAAACTTCACGTCAAAATCTACATTTTCTACCCGTCCCCCCTTCCCTCCCCCCACCCTACTCTCTCTCTCCAGCTCGTCAACTTGGGTTCGCATCATAGTATCCTTGTTCAACCGGAGGTGATTTTTTGTTATTTTTTCATTTAAAAATATGCATCTTCTACCCTCCACCCTACGCTCCCCCCCACCCTCCACTCCCACTCTCCCCCTTTCCCGCCCAACCTCCCTCACCCCTCCCCCACTCTCTCCCCAGCTTTTCAGCTTGGGTTCGCATCATGGCATCCGTGTTCAACAGGAGGTGATTTATTAGTCAACTTGAAAATTTCCTACCCCTCCGCCGTTCTCCCCCCTCTCCCCCCCTTCCACCACTCTCTCCCCAGCTCGTCAACTTGGGTCCGCATCATGGCATCTGTATTCAACCGGCCAATCGACTGCCTCGCTGATTCTCAGGTGGATTTATCTCATTCCAGTAATGTGGTTCTCACGGCACCTCAAAACTGCCTAGCACTTTCAAGGTGTCTCATATCTTGTGAGGACGTTTGAGATGACTATATATTACATGGTGTGTCGGGGTTGAACCAAACTGGTGTGTGCTGTGCGTGTTGTGCAAGGCATGTGGTGGTCCCATACAAGGCACCACATGCAGTGCTTTGTTTGTTGCTACAACTTGAGTCCCGCTCGTTGTCCGTTGTGAATGTATTTTCCGCACTGCTCTGTTTATTTCAGGAAGTTGGGGTGAAAGGTGCTGCCATTCTCGCTGCTCAAGGTTTGGGGTGGTTCTCTACCTTGGCTCCTTTGCACGGTAAAAACAAATTGCAGCATTCCCTTTTTGATTTAGTGAGGGAAGATTTTGCATATTTCTTGCCCCAGAAGTTACAGAGTTGGGTTGTTTGTGTGCAGGTAAGTGGACACTCTTATAGAACGATCAGAAGTGCCGGACCTTGCAGATTCGATTATCTACACCAAAATGTTAGATGCATATTGCAAGGGTGCTCCTGCTCTGGCACAATGTTACAACATTTTGAGTAATGTATCTCAACAAAAATAACTGCATTTCATGCCTCATTTATGTTTGGATGTTGTTTTCAAGTCTCCTGAGAAGTCGACAGGTGGGCACTTTTGTTTTTGTTTTTTTGTTTAGTATTGGCATAATTTCATGTGTAAGTAAACTGGTTTCCAGTGTTGTGAATGTTTTCCAAGCACTTCTACATATTCGGTACAAATTCGATCACCAAACCTCCAGCACTTCTCTTGGGGACTGGGTCCTGGCAGTTCACACAGGCTTGATGGTGGAGCTACAGTGTGTTATATGACAGTGGTTCAAGCGCAAAACCAATCCATGCACTTTCCCGCGCACGATTTTTCGAACCGCAAGAGGCGCCGCCGAGGCACCTTGCGAACTTGAGCATCCAAAAATCCCATTGACCAATCGCTGCACGGCATGAAAATTGCCGTTTGCGCCAGACAAAGATGCGGCTCGTTCGTCCGTTGAGAAACACGCGGCTCCATCCTGCTCCTGCCCTGCCCAACTTTTGTTATGCCACACGCACACCTATCGCCTATCTCTCCTCCCCGTCTCTCCGATCAGAGACTGTCTCACCCATCACTGATGTCGAAATTTGTGCCGTTCCTTCCAGCTTTCTTCAGCATTTTTCATTTCGAAATCCCGACCCAACTTTCAAGTCCCTCCAGACCAGACCTTACTCCCCCCACACATCCCACAGGCGAGTTAGCGCTCCCCCATAACCAGGCGAAAAGCGTGCTTGAAGCAGTCCAAGTCAGAAAACCCCCTCCCGTGTTACCTGCCAGCCACAGCGACGGAAGTTTCCGTCAATTACTGCTACCGTCAGCAGCGCAACATCTCCAATCAGTCCGCACAACACGCAGAAACCGAGATCTTAGCAGTGTTTCCACCCTCCGTCCGTTTGCAGAGAACTACAGACCTTTGCCATCAGTTTGCAACAACTCCGTTATACTCCCCACCCATCGCGCCATCCTAGCGGCACCCATTACTGTACCGCGCGCCTCAAAGACTCTCCTTCATGTTTGTCCATCCCCCGTCCTCTCATCACCCCATTTACCATCGAAGCTCATCGAAGCTCAACCACCTATCCCAGCAGCAACCTTAGCTGCTGCGGTTTAGCCTTCTCCGTGTGATGCGACACAGTACCTTTCGCGCAGTTTCCTGTCTAGGAGCTAGCGACCACATCGGGCCTAGTCAGCTAGGATCGCGGAACAATTCGAGCATCGGCCCGTGGCGTCTGTATTCAATTGTGGCAATCGAGCAAAGAAAAGGAGACGGATTTGACCTTTTAGTAGAGAGGAAGCTCCTGGCGTGCATGATAATTAAGTCATTAGAACCGTGGTGTCGTTTTTCAAGAGTGAACCAGTAACGATGCCGTGTTTAGGGGAGTTTCGACGGGGGATTTCATGAGCTTCCAACGTGAGTAAGAAGCTAGCGTCGTGTACGGTTAGCTAACGACCAGTTTAAAGCAAAGCTTCGCATCCGAGTAGCAGACGCTAACTGCAACCGAGTAGCAGACGCTAACTGCAACCGAGTAGCAGACGCTAACTGCAACCGAGTAGCAGACGCTAACTGCAACCGAGTAGCAGACGCTAACTGCAACCGAGTAGCAGACGCCAACTGCAACCGCCTTAGCAAACGAAAACAATGGCGACGACTCGTAAACAAGATCCTCGCCCCCCTGACGCGGACCAGCCTCGACGTCTGCCGAGTCCTCGCCGTCTTCCCAGTCCCAACCGCCTACCTAGCCCTAATCTCGCTCGCCGGCACATAGCCAACGCCAAGTCCTCCGATTTTCTGGGAACAGCGGCTCTTCGCTCGCCCGGTGCACAAGTCCCGGCTCTGTGCAATGTGCAGCCGCATGTGATTCAGAAATCCATGACGTGGCAGGATTCTGTTCCTGGTCCGCGCCCGCAATCTCCGGCGGAAAATCCGCTGTCGCCTAATGCGAAGGCTCCCACGCCGAGTAGCTGGCACCGGCCGTCACGGAGCTTTCGCAGTAGCATAGGCAGCGGCGGCAGCGGCGGGGATCGGTTGGCGCCGTCCAGCGCGATTCTCGCTGCTGGCCGGTCGGCAACTGCCGCGATTGCTGCTGCCACGTCATCCCCGTCAGCCAATGAGCTGTTTGCGCGAGGAAGCAGCGTTAACGGAGCCAGGAGGAGCGGCGGAGAAAGCGGGGAGATTGTCCGCCCTCCATCACCCTCTCCCGGCGAAGCATCTTCTCCGTCAGGTTTCCGTCTGTCCAGCATAGTTCCGAACCCGTTCCGCAGACGGAACAAAGAGAACTTTGCGTCAGCAGCCGTTTATGACGTTAACATGCTTGAGCCGGAAGAGAGCGAATCCTCCGCGAGCGGCGGTAACTACGCGATCGCTCCATCCTGCACACGAGGAAGGTTCAGCCCGCGCCGCAGCAGGCCGAGCCCGAGCCGCGAGCGGCGGAAAAGTAGCGACGGGAAAGGCCTCGGGATTTTCGGGAGCGACGGGAGAGGATCCGTGTCCCGCTCCAACAGCAAAGAAGCGCGCGATTTGCTTGCTGAGCTGGATGCTTGCGTGACGACCATGACACCTGCCGCAGACGCGGTAGGCGCAGCGTCATCGTCGGCGGGGATCAGCGCGCAGTCGCTTGCACTCGTGCCTGCGCGTGCGCGCGGCGGAAGCGGGGGGAACTGGGGGGAGCTGATGGCGGGGAGGAGGGCGGAGGAAGCGGCGGCAGTGGCAGCGGCGGTGGGGGAAGAGAGCGCGGAAGTGGTGATGGGCATTCTGTGGAAGTGGGTGAACCTGGGACGAGGCTGGGGCATGCGGCTGTTCGTTCTGGAAGGGGTAAGTACGCGATGTGAGAACTCTCAAAACTGGTTGTTTCCCGGCAGTACTCCTGTTTATTGACCACATCGGACGGGGCCCCGTCGCAATATTTTGTTTTCTCGAAAATGTCGAAGCATTTTCGAGGAAGTTCAAAGAGTGGCAGCCTGGGACCTAGATATTTCCCTGTGTTATGGTTCGGCAATTCCAAGGTGGGATCCGGATGATTCCCAGTGCCATCCGGGGGCAAATCCAAGGTGAGAACCAAAGAACTCCGGTGTAAGTATGCGAGATACGAAGGTCGCACCCAAATGAACCTCAGTGTCATCATACGGTAATACCAAGGCGGGTCCTGGATAATCCCTTGCATTTCCAACAATGGGTTCCTTTCAAGGAAATTCTGAATTCCAGTCCACCAAGCCCGATTTCCTAGGTCCAAACGCATCTCGAGTCACTAATATATATCTACGCGAGACATAACTTTCTCTGTTCAGTAGCATATAATAATTTTGTATATCACTCTGCATCCCGCCTTGTCTCCCACCAGGGCCTGCTGTCTTACTTCAAACTAGAGGGCCCTGATCGGGTAACCGTGTTACAGGAGCTTGAGCGTCGCCCTCGAGCCCGACTGATCGGTGATGAGATTCGCCATTTCGTGAAGAAGGAGCGCGAAGATGGGGTCGTGCCTAACGAAGGCGAGCTTTGCGATCGCATGCCACATGGCAGCGTCCGATTGGAGGTTTCGACGCTCCGAGCCAGCACGACTGACGGTAGAAAGTTCTACGTTTTCGGGACGAAGACGCTCGGATTAAGGACGGAATCTAAAGCCGGGAGGTTACTATGGATGGACGCGCTTCAAGCCGCGAAAATGAAGCACCTTCAGTTGATTCGCGCCTCGGCACAAGCTCCTTCGATTAATGATTCCAGGCTGGTAGCCGCGTCGTCGCTGGCCATGGAGCCGCTAAGAGCGTACTTAGCGAGTATAAGTGTGGGTGTGGAGGAGATCGCTAAGTGCGAGGAGATAGTGAGGCGACAAGTGGTGTTCAGGCTGGAGAATAAACTGCGGGAGGAGCAGAAGCGGCGGTTGCAGCTTTTGCGGTTACTGAGGCAGCTTGAAGCGGATAAGGTTGAGTTGGAAACGGCCATGCTGGAGGAGACGAGGAATCAGGGCTACGCAGGCACCAGCGTTGTCATGAGTACGCCTACAAGACTCTAATCCCTCACTCAGTCTCTCATCCTCTAACTCGGTAGATGTGACTAAACATGGTTTTCGGCGATACTTCCGTCCTATTTCTTCTCACCTTTTGAATGTTTATTTCTTCCATCTCCCTTTCCTATCTCTTTTTTATTTATCCGTTTCCACCTCTCATTCACCCCTTGTTCCTCGACTCCTTTTCCTCCCCAATGTCACCCCACCTGCACAGCTGGCGATGGCGATGATGCCAGCACGACCTTTGATGAGGACGAGGAGGAGGAGGACGACGAAGAGGATGACGAAGAGGAGGCGGAAGGGGAGGAGGAGGACGGTGGGGGTGATCAAGAGGTTGACAGCAGTGCGGTTACTATTTCAGGTCACGGGCTGTTGAAGCGCACTGGGAGCGACCTCAGGTCGAGGCAGATTGGTAACAGCGGCCGCAGGTCCGGGAGGGCTCGGAGCAAGGCTCGGCGCGCTGCCAAGGCTGACGTGTTGGCTCGGGACAATGACGAGGATGAGGGAGGGTCGGGCAGCAGCGGCGGGCAGGATGACGAGTTTTTCGAAGCCATGGATGATTTCGTCAGCTCCGGGAGTGTGCTGACGGTGCTTGACATACAAGAGGTACGTGGGAGCTGGATGGACTGGGCCTTGTTTTTTTATGAGTCAGCTCTGGGAATGTGCTGACTATGCTGGATGTTCAGGAGGTATGTGGGAGTGGGATGGGCTGGGGCTCATGTCATGGGTCTGTAATGTATTCTCTGAGTCGACTCAGGGAGTGTGTTGGTGGTATTGAACGTGCGAGTATTTTGCGATGTGCTATGGGCTCGTTTGGTTTGCTGCACATATGCCGAAAGGAACTGTGGGAGGATATGGACTGGTAGCGCATGAGATACTCTGCAATTCCAGGCAAGGTGAAGCCATTAATGGGAAAGTGTGTGATGACGGTCAGCGTCAGCCTCTGGTTGATTCTCAAGGACCTGGCGGGCTAGGACCTGTTCAAGGTGTCTCTGCTTTTTTTCTTCGTTTCTTCCCCCCCGCAACCCACCAACCACCCAATCTCCAACCCCTTACCAGGTGGGATTCACGTACCCCAAGATACCTCGAAGGGATCGCCTGCCCCCACCAGCAGAAGAGGAAAAGCCGGTCAGCATCTGGTCGATTCTCAAGGACCTGGTGGGCAAGGACCTCTTCAAGGTGTCGCTTCCCGTGAGCTTCAACGAGCCCATCAGCACCAACCAGAAGTATTGCGAGACGTACGAGTACAGCTGGCTGCTCGACCGGGCAGCTGAGTATGCCCGCCGGGTGAGTGGTGGATAGACTGCAAGGGAAACGGTAGGATCTGAGTGGGGTCCTTGCAGCGAATGTGCCTGTGAGCTTCAACGAGCCCATCAGCACCAACCAGAAGTACTGCGAGACGTACGAGTACAGCTGGCTGCTCGACCGCGCAGCAGAGTACGGCCGCCGGGTGAGTGCATAGCTGGCTTGCTGCTTGCTTGGTCTGAGATTCCATTAATGCAGCAGGAAAGTACTACTCTATTCTCCTTGTTGGACGAGCAGGACAACAAGCCAACGAGAGCAGTGCACGAGGCAGTGTTCGCAGTCTCTTGGTCGTCGATATTCACACACAACATGCCCACTCCACACTCTATCCCCCCTCTCGATCCACCACCAGGGCAACAAGCTAATGAGAGCAGTGCACGTGGCAGCGTTTGCAGTGTCGCGGTACTCGGGGAACGCTGGTCGCATGCACAAGCCCTTCAACCCGCTGCTGGGAGAGACGTTTGAGGCGGACTGCCCTGACAAGGGCTTCCGATACGTCTCCGAGGCGGTGAGTTGACCCATTTCATTTCGTAGTTGTGTCACCAACTCAGAGGCACACCATGACACCCCAGGGACAAGGAAGGACTAGCTACGGAAGCGTGCACAAGCCCCCCAACCCGCTGCTGGGAGAGACTTTTGAGGCCGATTGCCCCAACAAGGGCTTCCGATACGTCTCCGAGGTGGTGAGTTTCTGTTGCATCTCGCTATTGTTCCGTTTCATCTCAGAGGCCCCACGACACCCCAGATACAAGGAAGCTTTAGCTATGCAAGCATGCAAAAGCCATTTAACGGCTGCTCTGGGAAGACGTTTGAGGTGACGTCTCGGAGTAGCTACCCTGTAAACTGCTTCCGATGCGTCTCAGAAGCAGTGAGCTATTTCGTTACATCATCGATTGTGTTTACTGCAGCTCTTTGCATCTCCAAGTTGCTTTGCTACATTCTCAAGTGGGGCTATTACATCTAGCATGGCAGAGTTGTTCTGTTACAGCTCATCGGTAGGCAGCCAACACATTCTGGAGACATAGAAACTGAGACCCAGCCGCGCCCATTGGACGATGGGGATGTTGGTGCAACCCTACGGTTTGCACTCGGCTTGTTGTCCGTGTGCGTGAATGTGTGTGTGTATGGAATGGTATGAGGGCATGGGATAATATATATTTCATGCTTATAATTGTGTGTGAATGTACGAAGAGATCTGGCTGCGCCGCCCACCTGGCTTCATTGGGTCGTTTCCTGCTGGTACCCAGTGGAGCCTCCGACGGCCAGTCTACGGTCTCCGCCAGGCACCCCGTGAGTGGCACGAAACACTGAGGACGACTCTTGCTGCTCTTGGTTTTGCTCCTTCCACTGCTGACCCGTCGCTGTTTTTACGCACTGACAACACTCTGCCGCCGTTCTACGTTCTCGTGTACGTAGACGACTTGGTCTTTGCTACTGCTGATACTGAGGCACTCGCCCACGTGAAGTCCGAGCTGCAGAAGAGACACACGTGCACAGACCTGGGTGAGCTGACAAGCTATCTTGGCTTGCGGATCACCCGGGACAGAGCACAGCGCACCATTACCTTGACTCAGTCACACATGGTGCAGCATGTTGGTGCAACCCTACGGTTTGCACTCGGCTTGTTGTCCGTGTGCGTGAATGTGTGTGTGTGTATGGAATGGTATGAGGGCATGGGATAATATATATTTCATGCTTATAATTGTGTGTGAATGTTGAGTCATGATGTCGAGTGTGTGTGTCGAGTCAATAGCGAGTTATCGCTAGACGCGTGTTACGCGGTCGTTTGTGTCTCGCGCGCGGTTTCTATTTTGTCGTGCGCGGTTTCTATTTTGTCCTGTGTCGAACGTTCGGTGTGTCGCAGGTGTGTGCAGCAGACCCATCAAGAACTCAAGGATGAGTTTGTGATGAAGAGCCCGAGCCTTGGTGTCAAGCCTCAAGTGATTTCGAAGCTCGCCAAAAGGGTACACCTCAAGATATTGAAGATAGTTACATTACTTTGTGTAGTGTAACATTTCACTTGGTGTAGGCCCTAGTGAAGGGTAGTTTCGAGACCCTTCGTGGTTGGGGACAGTGTGGCACTGTTCCACATCACTGTACCTCGGCTCTTGGGGTTTGTAGGAGCTGGGAGTCATTCCCAACTCGTAACTCTTCCTATCTTGTGTTCTAAGACTATAGTGGCTGCCATAGTACCGTTCGTTCAAACCGACGCTGTGTCGTCAATTCTTTATCAAATCGTGCAATCTAAATTGCTAATTGTAGACGACGTGAAGACGCTCCAGATCCAATTTGAATCAGGTCATTTGCAACTGTGAGCAGAACGCTATTAACGTTTGAAGCCGCTGTGCAGAAATCCGTCTGTGCTCTCTATCTTTCGTTTTAGGCACATTCAAGCCTATTGTGACTATAACAAGTGGTATCAGAGCCCCTTGGAGCAGTTTCGACAATGTCTGGACCTGAGGAAAGGGGTTGCAGAGGTGCTGGTGGCAGTGGAGAAGCTCAAGCTCAAGGCCAACCCCGTGATTCAGCCATGGCGCCCATGCAACCAAGTCTTGGCCCACCTAGGGATGAGCCTAGGGTGTTTGGGCTTGACAAGTTCAACGGTGACAACTTTGCTGAATGGTCCTTCAAGATGGAGAACATCTTTGACCACTATGACCTGCTGGAGGTGATGGAAGGAACGGAGAAGCGCCCCGAGAACGACCCGGAGAAGAGCCCGTGGGTGCGGAAGAGCGCACAAGGCTATCTCTTACTTGGGCAAGCGTTGGGGAGCAGTCAGATCCGTCACATCAAGCCATTCCAGCGTGAACCAGAGAAAGGACCAAAGGCATGGGCTGCTCTCAAGGGTGTACATGCTCCTGCAACAGCGGCGGTAGCGGTGGTGTTGGAACGGCAAATGGCGGCACTACGAATTGAAGAAGACGAAGCGGTTGAAGAAGGGGTGCAGAAATTCTTCGACTTGTTGACGCGGCTTGAGGGAGCTGATTTGAACTACAGTGAGCTCCAAAAGAAGACCAAGTTTCTGGCCTTACTCCCAGAGTCATGGTCCTCGCTCATCATCAACCTTAATCGCGACTTGCCCCGCCTCTCGCTTGAAGACGTGAAGCGAGCTATCCTTCAAGAGGATTTCCGCCGCCGTGAGTTGGCGAGTGCGGATGGCGCTGGGGCAGCGAGCATCGGCCGTGGATATGGTCGAGGAAGAGGCAGAGGACGAGGGGGAGGAAGGTTTGGTGGCAGCAACTTCGGCGGAGGCCGCAGGAGTGGCGGTTACGGCAGCGACGACAAGAGCTACGGACGCGGTCGCGGCCGATTCGACGGCGAGTGTCACTATTGCCACAAGAGCGGACACATGTGGCGCGACTGCTACAAACTCCCTGATGGTTGGACCCCTGCTCAAGGCCAAGAGGGTAGAGGAGCAGGAGGAGGGAGAGGACGAGGCCGTGGAGGCCGTGGCGGTCGCGGTGGCGGAGCTGCAAACATGAAGAGCGGAGACAACGACAAGGACCCGAGCGACGATCGATACCCGGGTCTATTCTACTTCGTGTCGACGCAAGTACCGGCTGGTCCAGAGAAGGATGAAGGCCTTGAGGAGCCAGCAGCTGTGGGGAAGGTGACCCTACACCCCTTGGACTATTGGGTGATTGATAGTGGCGCTACCTATAGCATGACACCTCGCCCGGACTTGCTCACCGAACTCGAGCCGTCACCGGTGAAGCATGTCACATCGGCTTTGGGGCAGCGAGCAGAGGTGAAAGGCATGGGCAAGGCCATGTTCAAGGGTGCTGATGGGAAGATGGTGGGCCTCAAGAACGTGCTTTGGGTGCTCAGCCTTGCTGCAAACCTGATTTCCGTGCGGCGGTTGGCAAAGGTCGGCATGGACACGAACTCGAAGGGAGCCAAGACCTACACCGCAAGGCTTGGCGATCGAATTCTTTGGGACCTTCATGAGGACAGGGATGTCTACAACGAGATGTGGCAGATCCCAGTGGTCCCTATGCCTAAGGAGAGGCAAGTGGCAGCAAGCATCAGCACCAAGGATGGAGCGGTCGGTAGCGACGATGGCGCGAACGGTCGCGCTAAGGAGAATGAGCTCAAGAAGAGCAAACCTGGAGGGACCAGCAAGTTCAGTGAACCTAAGGAGAGTGGTGCAGCAACCAAGGAGCAGCAAAAGGGTGAGGAGAACCCAGAGGCAGCATCGGAGGAGGACTACGGAGAGAGTATGTGGGGCGCTATTGCGAGCGCGGCATTCTCCAATCCAACTTCGGGTACGGGGGAGTGTGATTGGCTCACCTTGCATCGGCGCATGGGGCATGTGGCCCTGCCCATCTTGCAGCAGCTAGTGAAGAATGAGATGGTTGCTGGCATACGTGTGAAGGGGGAGCCCGATGAGGTGCTTGGCTGCCCGACGTGCATTCAAGCCAAGTTCACCCGGTTTCCGTTCCCTAGTTCGGAGGCAACGGCAAAGGCACCACTTGATGAGGTGGTGATGGACGTGGTGGGCCCCCTGAAGCTTGGAGCTGCTGGAGCTGAGTATTTTCTCACCATTGTCGACGTCTACACCCGCATGACTTGGGTGTATGTGCTGGCCAAGAAGAGCGACGTGGCTGAAACGTTGAAGACGGATTGGTTCCCGATGGTGGAGCGGCAACAAGACCGTCTAGTCAAGTCAATCCGCACCGATCGAGGGGGAGAGTTCCTGAGCAAGGAGTTTGGGTTGTGGCTGAAGAAGAATGGTATTCGGCACTCCCTCACCATGCCATACTCCCCTGCAATGAACGGCATCGCCGAGCGAGCGAACCGCACAATCACGGAGGCGGCACGCGGGTTGCTCATTGAAGCCGGGCTACCCGACTATTTCTGGCCTGATGCGGTGCGGAGCGCGTGTGTGGCCAAGAACAGAGCATTGACTCATGTGGGAGCAGACAAATGGGTGCCCTATGTGGAGTGGCTAGGAAGAAAGCCAAAGGTGGATATGCTTCGGGTGTTCGGGTGCATGTGCATGGCGCTCGTGCCTAAGCATCTTCGGCACAACAAGCTTGGTGCCAAGGCGGTGTGGGCCGTGCACTTGGGCATGGCTCAAAACAGCAAGGGATGGCTTCTTTGGGACCCATTCACCAAGAAGTTCTTGGTGAGCAGGGACTGCAAGTTCATGGAGAACTTCATGTACAAGGATTGGAAGGCGGAGAATGAGGCGAAGATAGGCGTGCGGTTTGGGGAGGTGAAGAGTTCCGGTTTGGAGCATGTGGAGCTGCCTTTGGAACTGAGCAGCGGCAGCACAACCACAAGGCAATCCTCCCTTGTGAATGGGGGAGAGGAGGCCAATGATGCAGAGGAAGAAGAGGAGGAGGTGCAGCAAGTGAGCGAGCGTGCACCGTCACTCCCTTCCCGTACGAGTGCTCCACGGATTCGAGCCACACCGCAGCAACACCAAGGCCTTCAAGTCCCTGCAGCTGAGGAGGAAGGAAGGGGGAAGAGGAGAGTTCAACCCCCTAATAGGCTGACCTATGATGCGCCGGG